CAAGAAAGGGTATTTGCACGTGAAATCATTTTTTTCGTGCAAAAACAACGGAATGGGCCTTCCCTATGGATCACCTCATCTGTCCTTCCAATTCATGCGTTTTTCTCCCCTGTGACCCTCTTCTCTCACTCTCCCGTCCGAGTCCCTCTCCCTCTCTGGACTTGAAATGAATCAGATCAGTGTAACTTACTCGGAGTTCATTTGTTCTTCAGTTCCTGTAAGTTTGCCAAACCCCAAACCYTGCTTAACGTTCGCACCCAAATTGCTGGGAGAATGGTAGAGAGGTTTTTCTTCTTATCCACGAAACAACAAATCGAGAAGGAAAAGGAATGCAACAACAGCCAAATGATGCTCCTTTCAGGGCCTCCCTCCTGCGGGAAAACATCTCTCTTCTTCCGGTTCGCTATTAATTCCGCTTTCAGGGCCTCCCCCCTTACTTATCCCAGGTAWTCTACATTTATTACTACTCTCTTTGTTTTTCTTTCCATTTTAATCTGTATTTGTATGTAATGTAATTAGTAATTCATTTTTGAATGTTGCTTGCAGGGCATCGATGCCACGTCTGATGTGTTCAACCTAATACGGATTAAGTGAGTGTAAGCGAGAGCATTGTCCACTGGGATATCACGGAATTCCCTTTTCCTTACTAATAATTTACATCTATCCAAGCGTTTCTGTTCGTTGCCAGGTATGTAGAAGATTACGAGGGGATCAACAAATACTTGACTGGATTTCACTTGCACCAACTACCCAACAACCGTTGTAATTGATGATTTCGGAGATTTCTTSGATGACAAGCAAGTCAAGTCAGGCATTTGTYCGGCTTCAGTCRGAGCAAACCTGTTCGAACAACCTTTACAGCCTTGCATTGGGAATATCTCCCTCCTTATGTGCTTTACTTCATGGATAGATATTCCCAATGCAAGGTTACAAGAGGCTATTGCAATGGTGTAAGCACGGTTTGGATCCACACTTCTACTTGTAGGAATTGTAAAGAGAGATTGGGTAATCCAAGAGGAAGAGACCTTGCCATGGTTCGAACTCTGGCCTTGTGTCGAGATGCCCTCGCCCATGCCAAGTGACTATTCTGTTCACATAGCCTACATTTTAGATGCTTGGAGAGCTATTTGGTTGTTTTCTTCTGGTTCTTAGCTCTTTATATGTAACAGTGAGAGCTTGGCATAAGGAGAGCCTTGCAAGCTCTTGTTATCTGATACCCACTGATGGTG